TTGAAGGAGGATGTTATAATACTTGCCCATAGACTGCATAGCGTCAAGTCTAGCCAGTGGGTTTACTGGGTGTGTATTTGTCTACTGGGTAGGCAAATAAAGCTAAGGTTAAAGGGGAGGAAATGCTGCTAATACATGTGAGCATCAGGAGGACAAACCTTTGAAGTTGAGTTGTCATTTTTAGGGGGATTCTTCACATCACTGCTGAAAACTGATTCAAGTTAGATGCCTATAGAGATTCTCAATCATCCAGGTCATGGTTATTCCAAAGGTAGTTTTTCCAAAAGGCAACTAAACTGCCTTGGTTTTTTTCCTTTGAAAACATTTCACTTCTCACCCAAGAAGCTTCTTCAGTTCGAGTTAGTCCTATCCTTCAGAGCAGAAAACAAACAGCAGGGCTACACAGCACTTTCAGTAAACACATTCATACTGTAAACCAAATCAATTAAACTGGAAAGTAGCAAGAGGTCTCTCCATATACCCCTTCTCATCTTTGACCATGATGGATCATAGATCACAGATATCCATAGGGGAGGTGGAAAGGGCAGAAGTGGAAATGTGTGTTGTGATGCATACCACATGACCTGCAGGTATAAAAGGCCAAACAACATATTGTGATATTATGGCACACATTTCATTATTCCTATCTCATTGCAGCTTGTATAAGGTGTCCATGTGGATTCCATTTCCATCATCTCAAGATCATCATCGCCAGCATTTTTTCCAGTTCTCAGGAATCAGTAAAGGGAAGTCAGGCAGTGACTTCTTTTTCTTTTTCTTTTGATGTTTAGGTAAACCTGTCTGTGTGTTTGCTTTAGTTTGCATATTAAGCACACAGCTTCACCTGCAGCAATGTAATTATCATCATCCTAATCACAGTTACAAATGAAAATTTAGTTTATCTCAAATATTTTTGTTCCTGCTCTTCAAAGCTTTGCTCAGTGCAAAGGCTGGTTCACTGGTGTCTTTAATATACTCATTTTGATAGACTGGCACTTTCTTCTGACCACCATTTTGCATGTGCAAGCAAGCAAAGGCTTTCATCCAAAGGTCTGAAATCACAGCATCTGAAAGCATCAAAGTCCATAGAGTTGTGGCACGGTTGATATGTTTAATTGAGCAAACATATTCTTGGGGTTTCGTGATTCCTTGACTTGAAAGATTATTCTGTATAGTGGCTGCAAGGATGCTAAATTAAGAAATAATAGATAGAAGAGTGAACTCTATTGTCTCTGCTGGATGGTCTGCAACTGGGGTGAAAATATCAAGATGGCAGCTGTGACTATATGATCAAAATCTGCCTTCTTTTTATATATATTGGGCACATTACATACAATAAAAATAGCTGGGGATTTGATGCAGCCATAATGGCTACGTCGACTTATTTTGGGACATACACACAAACCCACAGATTCTAAATCTTGGAAATCTGCTTTTCTATTCCACTTGAACAGATTTTCTCTGTTCTATCATATGGGCCTAAAAGGCATTACTAAAAGGATACAGTAGTTCCTCACTTAGCAATCACAGCTGGAACCAGCAACTCACTTATTAAGTGAAGCAACTGTGCTCATGATCTTAATTCAGATTTCCTTTGCTTTATAATTCTGCAAAGGTCATAAATGTAAGACTTGGTCATAATGTTACCTTTTTATCACTGTCAAAAAAAGTGTGAATGCTCATTAAACAGTCACTAAACAAGGACTACTATTACAACGAAAGTTTCATACTAAGCTGGCATGTATTAAAAGCAATCATGAAGGAATACAGGTAAACCAACTTTTTTGAGGTACATTGACAAAATGCCTACTAGTTTTTTATAGACAGTGACCATAAATCCCATTTACCGCAAAGCCTACGGATTCACCTGGGGTATGCTCTACTAACCAAGGATATTCTTGATGACCTTTATAAGAGCCAAAGGCATCTCTACAAATAAATGTATTGTTTTAATTTCATTTTTATATTATTTATTGTCAGATGGGCCTGGGAACATGCTAAATGCAAAAATCCATATTTTGATACATATGAGGGCCAGGCTGTCCATTTCTGCTAGACTTTATTGTGATTGCTGAATCACATATTTGGTACGAAGAATTTGAAAAATCATCTCAACCAGGTATAAGCAATGTGTCTGGACTTGAATTCTCATCAGATCTGGTTGGGGATTGTAGAAGTTATAATTAAAATCGCAGGGTGGCACACAATTTCCTGTTCTGATCTACATAACAAAGTATCAAGATATTGGATGTTTTTATTTTTTTTTTCATTAGTAGGTTAGTGAATCTTAGAAGATAAGCAAAATTAGACTGATTAGTATGTGGGTAAGATGCCACCAGGAAATCTTATGATTAAGCTGCCTAAATTAGCTTAGAAGTCAAAAATAAAACAAAACAAAACAAATTCCAAATCTGTATTGTTCTATATTGTTACCCCTCCCCAAGGGGTAACCAAGACCCTATATTCTTTAAATATTAAAGAAGTAATCAGCGTCAACCTTAATTTGAAGCAGAATTTACTAACTATTTCTTATTCACTGAGTATGGGTTGATGATTATAATGTTTTTATGACTTTTTTTTTAATCTGCATTTTCATGTATACTGTAACCCAACATCATTCCCCTTAAAATTTGACACACTGCTGCTCTTCTAGTCTTCCAAAAAGCATTTAAGATCTGATTTTTCCCCCAAGCACTGGGATAGGTTGAGGTGGACCAAAGGATTTAATGAAGATGTTAGAAATTTAACTTTAGTGCCATTTTTAATATTTATGGTTTTAATAGATTTGTGCTGTTTTACTGATGTTATACTGCTTTTAACTGATGTTGTTTCTGACAGATAGAAAGCAACAGGTGAAGTTTGGGGGGGAGGCAATCATATTGAATACCCAAACAACCAACACATGCACCCTCACCCCAGGGCTGCGTGCTTTTTTTATTACTCTTTTCTCTTTATACTAATGGCTGCATCTTTAAGGATCCTTCTGTTAAAGTACTGAAGTTTGCAGTTGATACAACAGTCATTGGTCTCATTTGAGATGGTGCTGAATCTCCATACAGATGGGAGGTTGAATAACTGGCCCTGTGGTGCAGCTGGAATAATCTGGAGCTGAACAGGCTTAAAACTGTAGAGATGAGAGTGGATTTTAGGAGGAGTCCTCCTATTCTATTACCTCTTACTATATTAGTAATATAGTAATTATGATTATTATTACTGTTGTTTTAAATGTACATGAGAACTTATGCACTGGAGACAAATTCTTTGTGTGTCTAATTAAACTTGGCCAAATCAAGTACTCTGTTCTGTTCTCTTTTGTTCTATTTTGATTAAGAGCCACCCATAGTTTGACATAAGATGGGCAGCTATATAAATGTTTTAAGTAAAATAAAAATAAATATAGAGCCTTTGTATCTAACTTTCTCTTAATGCATTGAATATAAATGCATTATATACTTTTTAATGGCAATGACTGTGATGTTACTTTTTGTGATGCAGATTGCCGTTATAAGTTTAACTACATAAACTCCCTTCTAAAATATATCTATAAAATAGGGGTTTTTGTGCAGATATTTCACAAGAAATTAATATTTCATTTGGTGCTAAAATTTTGCAAGCACCATGGTAACTTTCTTTGACATCTCTAATCTATCTGTCAGCATTCCAAATTATGTTCTCCTCCAGTGCTGACATGAACAAAAGAGGAAGAAGCTTTGTTCTAATGCTGAGATGAACTTTTACCTAGTTTTCTACTGTTAGTAGATAGTGTTACCTGGGTGACAGAGGGAGTGGGGAAATTCCTGTGAAAAGAAAATGCTTGGTATGAAGAGATGGATGTGTTTACTTCTGGGATATTTTTCTTTTGTTTTTGCTTATGGCAAAATTGTTCATTTTTGTTTTATGTTTATCTGTTTGAAAAGTAAATGCTCAATTCCCACCCCCCAAACACACACACACCCCAAAAAAGCCTCCTGGTTTCTGTTTACAGTCCAGGAAAGTATGACCAAAATTTGGAGTGGCAAAGCACCTCTATGCAGAATGGATGTGCCTTTTACTTTTCAGTAAATACAGTAATGTGGGGATGTACAATATCATGTATGTGTGGGTGACATTGGGAGACAGGAGGAACATCCACTGAGTAGGAAACAAATAAGAGCCAGCTGAGTCTGCAGAAAGAATGGGGATATGTCAAACATCTCAGAAGAGATCTTCTTAGATTTTCTAGGCAAGTAGGGACATGTATTTTCAGACTTGCAAAAACCTTAAAATAAAGATAGAGCTAATTCTTCTGGGTGTGCTTCATGACTGAACTATCTTGCTAATCTGACAGCTACAGAGAATTGCCTCAAATTTTAGGGTCTAGAAGGAAAGACAGAGAGCAATGTTTTCACACTTGCTTAATCTATTTTTCAAGGAATGAAGTATGTTTATTTTTGGAGATGGAAAAAGAGAATGTGACTCATCTCTACAAAGACACAACTCTTTGAGATTACTGGAAATCAAGATGTTCTGCTGAGTATAAATCAGAATTTTACCACTGATGAGGCTCCAGGCCAAATTCAGAAATGGGCATAATTGGGACCTGCTGACAATGTCACTGCCTGAATCCTGCTTTTACTCTTAGTTCCTTTTACTAAATTTAGGCTTGTCAAGATGGCAGACCTGATGATGCAAGTGAAAATCCAAAAGTTTTTAACGTACATCGACATTTATCTGTTCTCTTGAAGCAGAGATAATGATGAGAAGGTAAAACAGCATTGTTCATGTGCCCCAAACAGTTGTATACACAAATTGGATCAGAGGAAGATGGCAACTGGCTGGACAATGGACCCAGAAGAGAAAGTAAGCTAATTTAGGAAAGACCTCCCTGAAGTCATTTAGCCCAAACTTTAACATGGCTTACATTCTCTGGATAATTGTGTTCCATAGTAAGAACCTGTGTTTTATTATGAGTCACCTTGAACCATGAGATGGATGGCAAATAAAGTCAATAAATAAATTAATTGCTGACATACAAGTTTATTGTTGAAAAATCCGGATAATTGTACCACTTTGTTCCCTTTTTGATCCAAACATACAAACTATAGACTACATAAAAATATGCACTACAACTACTTTTTCAGATATGCCTTGGATATGTAGAATCCTTTTCAGTATGCATTTTTTTGGATTTGCTCACGTGAAGAAACTACTTTCCCATCTTCAATCTCCTCAACAACCATGCGGACTTGGCGAGTTGTTTTTGGTACTGCAAGAGAAAGAGGCATAAAGGTCACGTTTTCTTCAGGTAAACCCAAAGGGACACTTGCTGACATCAGCTTGTAATGATCAGGACATGAAATTACTGGAGCTGTCAAGAAGCTTCTGTTGCACTTTCAATTAATTAGGAGGTTGTTCTAAAATATTTTCCCTGCTTTCTATGCTTCTCATATGTAGAGAACCAGAACTGCTTCCAAATCCCACAATTTTCCTGAACTAACAATGGTTCTGTTACAGTATATAACTTGAAGGAAAAAAAGTAGACTACTGTGATGCAATTCCCTAACTGGGTGCTTTTCTATTAGGACTTTGGATCCCAGAAAATTAATAGTACTCTCATTATGCTAGTAGGAAAGTTTGAGAGTTGCAGTGGCATTGTGTCAGAAAGACACTAATTTGAGAAAGACTGTAATATTACAGTGGAGTTCTTAGTAATAGGAGAGGTTGGGAACAGGCTAAAACTACTACAGTACCACACATGTTCATTCAAAAATATGTTTAGTCCTTAAAAGGGACGTGTGAGATTGAATCTTAAGGTTGAACAGCTTGAAATATACTTAAAATCATGGAATATTATAATTAGTAGTATGTCACTCAAATTGATGAACATTTGGCATAGTTAGTTTTCTTGAAATATCTTCTGGCTTATTTAGCTACCTAGCATGTATTAATTTATACATGATCAGTATGTATGTTCTGAATTACAGTAAAGACAGAAGGTATATATAAAAGAATCAATGTACCTACTTACTTGCTGTTTTAGAAGGTTTTTAGGCAATATTTTGATTTTAAAAATAAATATCAAGAGTTGGGTTTATCACTAATTCCCCAACTATTTTTTTGACATTACATTTCTCTATACAATGGCTTCACTCCTTGGTAAGTATGCCCAGAAAGTTTTCACAATCTAAAATTCTCCAGATGTATTAGACTACAATTCCCATGAACCCTAATTAATATGACCTGTTGATCAAGGGAATTACACTCTAGTACAATCTGGAGAGCAATAAATTAATGAGAATTAGGATACAATTAAATGACGTTTGTTTATTTGAGTTCCATTCTTACCTTCTTTGCCAGGTTTAGCTGCATTGTATTGCGAGGTGATGCTGTAAGAAATACAGAATTGTATAGTCCAATTAGAAACCCTGATAGTTTTTCTAGCGCATAATACAATTAATGAGGGAATAACATATGTCTTATTAAATACAAAAATAGAATAGTCTACTAAAACATTATTAGATACTATTATAATAAAATATTTATGTAAAGCAACTTTTGGCAACATGTAAAAATAATGATTACATGACCAACAAATAAGTTTTCTTAAGAAAGGAGCTCAAAATTTACTTAGGAATGAAGCAGATATTAAAGATGGAAACTTGGAATAAATATGCTTCCATCTAAAAACCCTTCATTCCATATATGTCATTTTAGATCACTTCTCTTGGTTTCCCCTCCCAATCCAGCCATCTCTGTCAAACCCCACCCCATTCCACCTCAACCCATTCTTTTTTACATACTGGGCTTCCTCTCCCTCCAGCAGACGACGGTAGGTGGCAATCTCCTGTTCTAGGCGTGTCTTGACATCAAGGAGAACGTTGTACTCATGGTTTTGGCGCTCCATATCACATCTCAGGCTGCCCAACTCCTGTTCCACATTGGTGATCAGAGCCTGGATCTGGCAAAGCTGATTACCATAACGAGTTTCTGTGTCCACCAATGTGCCTTCCAATGCTGATTTCTGGGGAAAGAGAAGAGCAGGAGGAATCTGATTAGGGGTTCCAAACATACTTAATGCTATCACGACTGACATCAACTATTTCAGATACTAAGGAAATTCAAGGGTCTCATACATTAAAAAAAATAAAAGCCTGATTTGAGTAAATTCCACATTCTCCAGAAGATGAATAGAAAATAAAGAATCTAAGTTCAGATAGGGCCAGGTAGCCTCAGCAGAGGAAAGAAGTTCCTTCAACTGATCTTGAAGGTAGAAGAAAAACTGTGCTTCTACTCTTAATAGGACTAAATTTAATGAGGGCAACTTAACTTTTCTGGATTAGATTCTGTATATCTCTTTCCTGTCAATAACAGGTGTTGTGTTTTGTTTTGTTTTGTTTTGTTTTGTTTTGTTTTGTTTTGTTTTTTTGTTTTGTTTTGTTTTTGAAGAGAACATGATAGCAAGAGAAGATAGTCTGGATATTTTAAGCTATCATTCTTCCTCACCTACCCCCATCATTGAAATAACTAAAATTACATCACACATTGTATAGGGAGGAAATGCCACTAAACTTTAAGTGTTCCCATACCATGCTGAGTTGAGCCTGAAGATCTATCTCTAAATTTTGAATAGTACGTCTCAGTTCCACGATCTCCGTCTTGCTCGTCTGCAACTGTACCGTATTGGTGGCAACTTCCCGATTTAGCTCTTCAGTCTACAAGGGGGGGGAAAAAGAGAGAAGACTTATTGTGAGAACACTAAGCACCTTTTGGGGAATATATGGCTTGTGTTCTATAAAGGCCCTCTGAGATATATATAAATGTGTGTGTGTGTATGTATGTGTATGTATACATACATACATACACACACACACACACATACATACACACACATATAGATATATAGATATATATAGATATATATATAGCACACCTTGCTGAAGAACCACTGCTCAGCATCTCTACGGTTCTTCTCCGCCAAAATCTCATACTGTTCACGCATCTCTCCCAGAATCTTTGTCAGGTCCACACCAGGAGCAGCATCCATTTCCACAGTGATTTCTCCACTGACTTGGTTTCCGAAAGCATTCATTTCCTGTGGAAGGAAAATATTTATCATTCATATGTATTTCTATACAAAAAAATCATAGGAAGCTGTATTATTCAGCCTATTTGTATAACATGTATTGCCTTCCCCCGAAGTAGATACTTTGAGGACTTTTTTAGTGTCTGTTTAATTTCTTGGTTCTAAGAATTTTTATTTGGTTCAGCAAAATCCAATTCAAAAAAGAAAACCCACCAAAAAACAAAAAGCAAAGCAGTGTACAATATTTTTTTATGACATACAGTAGTTCATTGAGAATCTCTTGCTGTTTAAGCACAGAACATGAGACCTCCAAAATGAGGCCAGAGGTATGTCTTCACTTCCAGTTGACTTTATGCCTAAATCCCCCCTTGTGGGATTAGAATCCTCAGCCTCCCAGTTTCTAATGTAATGCTTTAACTGCTGCGCCAAACTGGTTTCTTCAGCATTTACTGAATGCTTTTCCTCACCTTTGATGAAATTAAGTCTCTCCAACAGGATTAATTGGGGGGGGGGGAGGATGGGACCCAGTGAAGTAAGAAAAGATCAGATCTCTGTCATTGGCTACCTGATGGATGAAGAATCCTATCTCCCTCTACTCTCTATTTCTTCTCCCATTCCAAGCTATCACAACTGAGAGGTATGGCAAGAGAAGAGAGGGAGGAGACCATTTACCAGTTACCTGGTAAATTGCTCCTGGAGCTTATATATGACATGTAGAAAAGGCTGTTTCAAAGTACCAGACTCTTCAGATATAAAAAATGATAATGATTTATTTCATTAATATGCTGCTTGACTCCCAGTAACTCTGGACTAATGGAATTATATTGGAAACAGTATTCAAAAACCATAGCTGATTCAAACGAACAATTCCAGCCCATGATTATATTAGCAACCACATTGTTAAGGAAGCATCAGAGATCATGTTCCCACACAACATATTGTGTCAGATGAGGGAAAACACTCCTTTAACACTGGAACAGCAAAGGGCGACTTTCAGTTTCTCAGCTGTTTTCTGGGAATGAGACAAAAGTCCTGAGGACATGTCATTTAAAAATAATCCACCAGCCACCTTTGTGCTATGCTGCAGTTACAAGAATGTAAGAATAAGTACAATCTCTGGCAGAAATCTTTCTTCCTCATCTGCTTTTTTGGGAGTTTCAGGGAATTGAATTTGGGACTTTTTACATATGAACATGAGCATAGTCATGTTTCTTTCTTACAACCAGAGGTGGATTTCAGCAGGTTCTGAGCAGTTCTGAAGAACCAGTAGTGGAAATTTTGAGTAGTTTGGAGAACTGGTAAATGCCACCTCTGACTGGCCCCGCCCCCATCTATTCTCTGCCTCTCGAGTCCCAGCTGATCAGGAGGAAATGGGGATTTTGCAGTAACCTTCCCCTGGAGTGGGGAGGGAATGGAGATTTTACAGTTTCCTTCCCCTGGAGTGGGGTGAGAATGGAGATTTTACAGTCTCCTTCCCCTGCCACGCCCACCAAGCTACGCCCACCAAGCCATGCCACGTCCACCAAGCCACACCCACAGAACCAGTAGTAAAAAATTTGAAACCCACCACTGCTTATGACCATAGCCTCTTCCTGCACTACCATCTAAAGCCTATGACTTAAATATTTGCCTATCACCACAAGCTGTTTTAAACATGCAGTAATATGATTTGGAATTCAGATGTCAAATCCTGAATCTGGCAACAGGAAGTATCCTTTTTTTAGTTGGTTAAATGGCCTGAACCAATATGTGAAAAAAAAAATTCAAACAACTTCCCTACACTTTCATTAGTGATGGATAGATTTATTGATGTTTTACCTCTTCATGGTTCTTCTTGAGATATGCCAGTTCCTCTTTCAAATTCTCAATCTGCATTTCCAGATCTGACCTAGACAAGGTCAGTTCATCCAAGACTCTGCGCAGCCCATTGATGTCACTTTCAACATTCATACGCAGAGCTTGCTCTGTTTCAAACCTGGAAATACAAGAATTCAGCAAGGAGTTAAACCACATATCCATTTTGAAGTCCTGATGTTACTTGCAGCTAATGAACAAATCGCTTGCAGACATGATTAAATGAACAATTAAAATGCAATATGATCATCTTTTGTGGAAACTGTTACATGAAACTTTATATACATATAAACATGTATGATCAGCCTGTATGTATAATTGTTGTCTTTCATTGTTTTCTTTCTTTTTTCTATTGCCTTGTTTTTCCCTTTATTTTGTTTAATTAAATAAATGCAAAAAATGTTTTAGAAAAATCAGCATAGAAAAACTGTTGTTCAGTTTTAATCTGTCCTCATTTGAATCCTAGCTAGAATTGTGTTTTGAAAAGTAAATAGTCAAGATTAAAGTAAACGCCACTCCTTTTGATACTCATAATGGCTAATATGTGCCTGTTTTCATTTAAAATTTTGAAATTTGCAGAATCTTGAAATATATGATTCAGTGAAAGCCAAACTACAACTCTTATTTATCTTCTTCACTTGTTCATTTGTTTAAATATATTGTCAGGGAAGAGAAAAAAAAATTGAATTCTTTAGCCTGCCAGATTCCTGACCAAAAGTGACAGCAGGGCCTCCATCTGCAACGGAGGGAAAATTCCCACTGGCACTGATAGGAGACTTCCTATAATTATGAACACTATAAAGAGATGTGGTGATTCTGTTCAGCACCAAAGCAGTACTGTTCAGAAAAGAGTTTAAATCATAGGGTACAAATCTTTAGCTATACAAAATTAGTTCATGGTAGACATCATATCCTGTTTAACTTATAGATGAAGAAGTTCAAATGTACATAGGATGGTCACAAGTTCCTGAATTTTATATGTAGAGTTTCAGAATATCAGCAGGGTACTGAACTGCTACAATAATACTTGTTTTTTTAAAAAAATTAATTAACAAGTAATCCTTGGGGTTTTTTTTTTAATACTTGCTCTTGATCAATTATTCTCACCACTATACTTTATTTCTATGTGAAGAACAGATGATAGCGATAGTGAAGAAATCATCTGTACAGTTCCATCTTGTGCAACAATTGCACCCTTTTCTGGATTAGATGTCTGGATTAGATTTGTCTTCAGACAAATCTCTTGTGTTTTGGTCACATTGCACATGGAGTATTACAATGTGCATGGTGTTGTTCTTGAAAATCACATATAAGGATCCAAGCAGCCCAAGCAATCACTGGTATGTCCATGTAACAATTCTAGTTTAGGAACAGTGAACGGTGAATTCAAGTTACTAGTTATCATCTGTCAAGTGCTTCATGGCCTAGCTACCTGAGGGACCATCTAACACCAACAGCATTTACCAATCCCACCCAGTTTAACAGGTATGGCATGATCCAAATCCCATTGGGAAAATATGTCAACTGATGAAACCTAGGAATCACTTCTGTGTCACCTCTTTCCCCATATTATTGGGGGGGGAGACTTAAAACCTTATTTTTATCTGTTTTTAATACTGTATTCCAATCCAGTATTCTGAATTGGGTGGCCTTACAAATCCAGAAAAGGAAAGAATGGAAGGGAAGGAAAGGGAAGGGGAGGGGAGGGGAGGGGAGGGGTCCTGTTTAATCCATAATCATCTTCAAAGCATGAAAGTTGATTAAAATATATGACTTTGAATATATTGTCTCTCAAAATACACATATCTACATTTCTAAAAATGTGCATTTTGGCATATATTTTGAGCAGAATGGTACAATTCCAAGGGATAACTTGTTCAGCTCAGAAATATATAATGGAATTGACAGATTCTGAGCATTAGTATATGATTCCATGAGATTTCTGAGTTCCCAATATCAACAACAAAAAGTATTGCTCCAAGTGTTACAAGATTCCAACAATTTTACCCTGAGATTTTGCACAACTTAATGTAGCAATGCAAAAATCTCATAAATATTCATGAAATCTTGCAAGACTTCCATGTTCAAGGGCAAGATCTCTCAAGATCTAGGTAAACAGCATTGCATCTCGTAGGATTGCAGCCACACTTTTTTTTAATTAAGCATTTTAAATATTAATTAATTTGGGAGATTCCTGGACCATCCAGAATTTTTAAGTATGGCTTGGGACCTGTGAGAGCTGTGTTCCTAACCTTGGATTAAGAAATTAAACTGAGGTCTGGTTATTCTCAATGGAGACCAGACAAAATCTTCAGGTATCACTACCCGCTTTGATCCATTTTTTTTTCATTCTTTAATCTAATTTTTATGTTTTAAATCTGGAAGTCAAAATCTAGTTACTTAGTGTGTACAAAATTCCATCTGCTCAGCAAGCTATATAAAAGAGCCTGGCGTTATTGTTTTCCATTTGTCCATGAATTTAAAAAAACCCAAAATCTTACTTGGTTCTAAAGTCATCAGCAGCCAAGCGTGCATTGTCAATCTGAAGGAGAACACTAGCATTGTCAATGGAAGCTGCTAAAATCTAGGGGGGAAAAAACAAGGTAAACTAAGAAGCAATCTTAAGAGGTTTTTCTATCAGCATCCTATTCACCAACTCAGGAATAGAGAAGATGTGATTAAGTTGCTGATCTACAAATCCCAGTAATATAGCTACCATGGCTATATCATAGTGAGGGATGTTGAAAATTATAGTTCAATGACATAGACTACGGATTCTCCATCATTGCTGTTACCATTTATGACACTATCCTAACTGTATATAGGACAAAAGCAATCATGAAATAAAAGCATTAAACAGAAAAAAGCAGAGATCTGAGCAGATACTTATCAGGATAAGTATCTATTCACTAGGCAAATTTAATACATTTGTCATATTGATCTTTATTTGTTTAGCAAATGTAGTGTTCAAAGAGTTCTGCTAATCCTTCATTTGATCCTGGTACAAAATCATTGTTATTATTACTCAGTACTTGAGTCTGAATCCGTCAGACAAGACTATACAAAAGGTGAGCTGTATCAGAGCCCTACCCTGCCCTGCCCTGAAGAGCTCTCAGGGATTCAAGCTTGGCATGTGAGTAACATCCGGTATGCATCATCAGGCTCATATTCAGAATGGTACAGACTTCATTTGCAACTTTTTAATGATTTCTGGAGGCTTCCATCAGTAGACAACTGGAATTAAATAATTCATATCCTAGAGCAATCTGCTCTTCGATGCTGTTTTCTTGGAACGCCATTTGCCATTTCCTTAGGAACAATCTAATTAACAAACCATTTCTTCTCCCTTACCAATCACCTTTATTCTAAATGTCATGACAAACAAGGGTAATCATTTATCCACATCTTCTATCTTGCAGGGGACCGCTGCCTATTTGATTGATAGCTAAGTACATCCTTCCTTTCTGAGATCCACCTGATTTAAAACTTGGCCAGTTTATGATCTTCAATTTACCTATTCATAGTGACCACCTGGACAAGCAATCCTGGAGGCACAGAGGTCACTTGCTCATATCATAGCCCACAATAGCAAGATGGATCACATTTCTATGGCAGGAGCTACATTTTGTAGTACATACATATTTTATATCTATTAGGTCTTCCCTTGTCCTTTTTAGTTAATGATTTACAAGTATTTATACAAAATCCACCATAGAAATATCTCATATTGTTAAGAATATATAAGAAGTTCCACCTAAATTTAATTCAGATGCATCCATTCATCCAGGTTTCCCATTGCAAGTTCTAGGAACACTTCAATAACATGTTTGGTGTATCAGAAATCAGATGGACTGTTCTGAATTTTATCTTGCAATACCATGTTTCCCTGAAAATAAGACCCTGTCTTATATTTTTTTGAACCCTGAAATAAGCGCTTGGCCTTATTGCAATGCGCTCAAAAGCCCGATTGGGCTTATTATCAGGGGATGTCTTCTTTTGGGAGAAATAGAGTAGTAGGCCTAATCACTCCATCCCTCACCCTATGATAAGCAGAACTGAAGTTAATTTTGCAAAACAGTATAAATGGAAATAAAATTTACAATATTGATTTACAATATTTATAACCTTTATTTAGATAATGCATATGACTGCAGAGTTTATCCTCAATGGATATAGAATATGGATTAACCTGGCACAAAATATATTTCAAAAAGTGTTTTACCAATTAGAGATTCATGCATCTAAGAACTTTTTGTCATTATTGTTTTAAGCACACATTAACACCATAATAACGCAAAAACAGTCTACAGTTCTCTATGGAGTATAAACACATACTGACAATTTTAGATTTCTACAAGGATTGCAAGAGACAGGGAAACAATGTGTCAAGGTCACATAGGTTTGAGTTGCACAAGTGCACAGAGAATTGTAATAATGCAAGCTTTTTCATTTGCATTCCGTTATTACAAAAGACTTTGAACATTATATTTGTTTTTTCTAGATTGATAACCAGTATGGTTTTGAATCTTTGAATCCCAAATTATTTTTTCTGGCCTTAAGAATTCATTCCTATACCCAATAGGCATTGAGTCATACCTTGCTCTTCAGATCTTCAATTGTTCTGAAGTAGTGGCTGTAGTCACGGGCTGGAGTAGGTGCCTGCTTCTGATACCACTCATTGATCTTAATTTCCAAATTGGTATTGGCTTCTTCTAATGCCCGCACTTTATCCAGGTAATTAGCCAAACGATCATTGAGGTTCTGCATAGTTTGCTTCTCACCTCCTGTCAAAAGGACATCACCACTGCCCACAGAGCCTCCACCAAAGCCCACAGAGCCTCCACCAAAGCCCATACCAAGATTTCCACCAAAGCCAGTGCCAAAACCACCACCATAGCTGCTACAGTAGTTGCTGCCCCCATAGCCACCACCGAGGGCATTGCCAACCCCAGACGCATAGCGAGAGGAAGAGACAGAGATGCCACCAGCTCCTCCATAGATACTTGAAGTTCTGCATCCTCCACTCAAAGGGACAGAGGAGAGACGGGAAGACCCTCCACCAAAACTGCATGAAGCCCCTTTCTTAGAGGAAGAGGAGGAAGTGTATTGCTTGATGGAAGTGGTCATTTTGCCAAAAAATAGAGCCACACAATACAGACTTCCCTGTTAAATTCTAAAAGCTTGAGAGGGATAGTGGCTCTTTCTCTGAATTCCTGCCTTATATCTAGGATGGAAGTGTTGCTAAACACACAAATATTTGGCATTCCCTCAAGATTTCATCACCCCCCTCCCCTCCGGAATCAAAGTCAGTTTCCAGGACTATCCTTTTCCCTCTACGCATTTATTCATGCTGATGTCATGTTCTGGCATAAAGATTATGCCTTGGGAGAGGGTGGGGTTTTCTTTTGATTTTACTGCTCCGTTTTTCCTCCTAGATGCATCATCATCTATTATTCAGAGAAAGAGGTTCCTCACCCAGGAGAACCTTTTTAACAATAAGAAGGATGTAAGAAAGACTCTTGAATGTTCTTCCCTTTACTTGTATCAAAAGTCAAATATCTCTCTCTGTGTAACATTTTAGGCTTCCTTCTAGGATTTCTCGCCTTCTTCAGATTTCTTTGGAATGTAAGATGAGAACTCTGCCAATAAAACAATATCCAATTGCCTCTTGACCCTAGGAGAATGCATAACAAGCTGTTCTAAATAGATATGGCTTGATAGACTTTGCTTTCCTCTTAACTCTACAAGCCTACAATGGTAGGTGTAAGACCAAAACTGTTTCTGCACAACTCCTTTTTGCAGAACTTGGTTAGAAGTAGGCACTGATGAGGGTCTTATTATCCTGAAGTGCCCCTATTGTTAACTATCAAGGATCTGTTCATTTTATTAGTGATAAAGAAGGTTGAACATGGCTGAGAATTTTGTCTCAACTCTGAATAGCCTCACCCTATGCCTAGAAACATGGGCTAATGAGAAACCTGGCTTTTCCTGCTCAAGAGTTTCTGTTTTCAGACAGCTCTTTTGAGAGCATATGATTATTAAACTCAAAAATTATAAGTGGCTAGTTTTCAACCCAAATTCAGGTGAGAGAAAATGAACTTTAAGAAGTAATCAAGATGATGTATTCATAGGGATGAATTTTGCTTTCTCCTACATACATGTTTTAACTCTTAAATTCCTCATCTCCTGCTTATATACAAATGTCCACATTCTGGTAAGCTCTTATTTTCAAAAAGTCCAAATACAGTTCTCAACCATCTTCATCAATTCCAAATCCAATAGATAAAGATATTTCTAGAAGATAGGGAACAAAATTCTCCTTCTGACAGTAAAGTGCAGGAATCCACAGTTTCACATCATGAAACTGGCTGAATACACTGAAATTCAAAGTCATATTTTTAAGAGTTGAGTAATCCAAATCCTATGCTGGATTAACACATTTCATCAGATTCGGTTTCTCCCGCATTCTCAGATCTCTTCTATCTGAAATCATTTCTACCATCTTTATCTAGAAATGTGTAAAAAGTGAAATAATATCAGAGAGCAAACTAAACTAAAAAACATTTCATTAATGTCTAATCCAAGTTTGTTGTTTTTGATGTCTTTCAGTTCATGTTTGAGTTTAAACTTATAACATCAATATATTTGATAACCAGCACAGGACTGGAAAGTACACTTGCCATAACTTTATTTGACATTGTTGGGAAATGCTGCCAAATGTTATGCTTCCATGCCATGTTGCAAAGGTGATATAACACCCAGGATTCTCATATTCTGCATTGTATATAAATCGTTTCTGGGAATACAGCTGAAGGATCCTGGTTAAAAAAAGAGGAAAGTGCCCCATGGTTTCATGCCCTCATTCAACCATGAATTTAAATCCACTTTGTTCTAATCCTTGAAGACATTTTATTGAGGGAAGCCAGAAGCTTTTACTAAGACTATCTGATAAAGCAGCTGTATCACAAACCATGTCATAAAGGGAGGCGGGTTTGAGGAAATGCCTATGATTGAAAACCTAGCCAAAGAAGCAGTACGTTCTACATTTTTCCTTGTTTGTTTCTATATCCATTATAACTAGAAATGTTCTTTGATTTTTGAGAAAGAAAGTCTTATTTCCCAATTTATTTTGGTAGCTGACGTAATGCACAGACATGTGGGGCCACTGATTACAAATAGTCAATATATAGACCATGTATATTATTACATGTTAAGTGTGAAATTCCATAACATCTGCCAGGTTTTTCTTTAGAGGTCTTCTTTTTAGACTTCTTTAGAGGTCTTCCGAATCCATTCTCCATTACATACACCCATGCAAGACCAGGCGATAAGTATGTGTGAAAGGACTCTATGAATGTCCTGCCAATGGTTTACTGTTTTCAAAAGCAGGTCCAAACAATTCCACCCAAATAATATGTACTGGTTCCTTCGAACAGAAGGACCTCTCTGAGCAAAAGAAAACCTGTAGCTTGAAAAGACATCCTAGTAGTGAAGCAAAGGGACCAGGGATGTGAGATTCTTTTCTTAAAATTACACATCAAGATAAATGGATTGAAACAAGTCTTTACAATCTTGTTGGCTCCTCTTTAACCAACAATTGTAACAACAGCATGTACCGAATTATAATTAAGCCGAACAGATTCTTTTTCTATTAGAATTACCAGCTAACTTTTGAATTATTAATTGCTGTGCTTTTGAGGACAGTTGAGACATGTTCTAACTATAAATCACATTCATATCCAGCAATTCTTTTCATTGGATCTGTATTCCAGCTTGAAAGTCTCAAATTGCCTTTGATGCTTACAAATACTTACAAATCTATAATCACTTTGGAAGAAAGTAGAGAGGGGGTTGCAACTGTATGTAGCATCTTTGGAAACATCAAACAAAAATGAAGAGACCCTAATTTGGAATGACGTCTAAAGTTATATCATTCCAGTTCATTTGCTTTATCTGTTATCTGTAGTCTGTGCTTCTTTGTGCGGTTGTTTTAATCTGTGTTATTATGCTTTTGCATTGATTTATGTATATGTTTACCCAACATCAACTTAAGAGCTATTGTTGTAAGACAAGAATTAGCAGCATGGGGTCCTAGGCCCACTTCTATTATACTTTGAACTGCTTCAGTTCAGCACCAGCAAAATCTGACAAATCATTGATAATCGGGGGTACGATTTCTCACGATTTTATTATTTCAAAATTTTTTGCACCTTACAAAAAGCTTTAAATTAAAAAAAAACTTTAGCTACTACAAAAAAAAAAACCCTCACAGAAAATTGAGAAACAATTTTTGAAAAACATTTTGACAATTGAAAAACAAAGAAAATGATGGCTCCAGCCACTTGGACTATGCAGTCTTACTACCCTGCCTAAGATGAAACTACTCCAAAGGGCTAAAGAAAAGAAAAGAAAGAGGTAATACTTTGAAAGTATAGCCCCTGACCATGAAAAATTTCTTGCCACTCCTATAAAGCAATTAGAGTAATACAATTAAGTTATGCAATTCTACAAATCAATCTTAACAGCTTGGTTATGAAAGTGGTTTGGCTGAGAGACAATCTGAAATTATCTGCAAGCTACTCTTACTCTTATACTTACTTATTTACACTGGAGTTTCAGTCATTAACAGAAATAAATCTCATTATGTTCGGTTAACTTATTGACAAGTGTCTGTAACTGTGCAGCCTTAAGTTTTCCTTAGCTGTGAAGAATGTCAAGAATGTTAAGCTGTAACAGAAAATATATCTGAGTTCTGAGAAAATATTAGCAAGAAACTCAGCTATCCACCTTGATTTTGTTGAGTATGTATTGTATTGAAATAAAGTGGAGTTTTGACAGCTCTTGAGATTCTGTTACAATACCTAAATGGCAGAGTACATTTAAGACTCTTAATAACCCTATTTCCTGAGCTTGTCTTTCTTGAAGGACTGCTGAATCACTGTATTCATATTAACAATTCTGTCCAAAAGGAAGACTTCAGTAGTAGTTTACACAAACCCTCTAGGTTAGTGTCTCTCAATTTTGGTAGCTTGAAGATGGGTGGACTTCAACTCCCAGAATCCCCCAGCCAGTGCTGGTGGCTGGGGGATTCTGGGAGTTGAAGTCCACCCATCTTCAAGCTACCAAGGTTGAAAAACACTGCTCTAGGTGTTAACTTTCTGATAAAATAGTCACAGTGTAGTATTGTAGAGGGATACAAATGTTATCCTGTGATAACATTTGGTAACGTATTTGGTCCTGCAGCTATCTAACAAAGACTTCATGGAATCAATGACAAAAGCAAATAAATTTTATAAAATAAATTTATAAAGCAAATAAATGTTATAGATACATAAGCAAAATAACTCATGGACACAAAAAAACATTGATGAAGGAATACAGGCCTATGACAGCAACAGTGGGATCTTTTCTCATATACATTTCTCCTTGCACCATTTACAAAGAGGGTATTTTTGGCCCTTGCCTCCATTAGGCTGGATGATAGTCTCTGTTTGATTGGAAGATACCAACTTGAGGAACAATATTTTAGACCAGTATTTTTCAAACCCTGGCAAATTTAAGTTGTATGAACTTCAACTCCCAGAATTCTCTAGTAGGATGACTGTCATTCCATTTGAGAAAAGATGGTTTGCTTTTTGACTTGTAGCATTTTTTTAAGAGAAAAGAAATTTCTAATGCAATTTGCAACAGGATTTAGTAGTTTTGTCCTTCTTTGGCGATCAGGTGATTACTCTCCTCTCTTCAGCATTCTGCAGTCTACTCATTTTAGTTAAATCCTAAGCAAAAAATATTTTGAAATGATGATTCTCATTGAGCTTTTTCAGTAGCAATATTACTGTCACTGTTCCAATTCCACCAGACAAGGTGAAGAAACTGCTGGAAAAGCTCTCCTTCTCCTGGAGAAATGTTTGCCACAAATGGTCTTAGCCAAGATCTCCACCCACAAAATTGCTTTTCAAAGGCCATTGGAACCCATCCCTATTTATCTTGAATCCTAGCCAATAAATACATTTCAACCAGACTGCAAAGTGCAAATTATTTTGGACCATAGGAATGAATCATTCTTTCTGTTTTCTCCCAAGGCGCATTTTTTAAAAAAAGACCTGCGTTGACGTGTTGACAAGCAAAGTTTACTTCAAAAAAATCCAACATAAGATCTCTTCAATCTACACATTATGTTTCAGAAAATATTAGCCTTGCCACTGCTTGCATACACTTATTATTTGCATTATTTGATAATGCATATTGCTATTAGTACATCAAAGATCTAACTCTGTGGTCTCTTGGTATCCATTCCATTTTCTCGGGCAAGTTTTATAATTCCTACTTTAAATGCTGAAGTCTTTCAAAACCAAATGCTGTTATGACCATCACTTAAATTAAGCCCCTTTCTTGGTTTTCTCTCTTTTTGTGGGGATATTGAGGCCAGAAATGTCCATTCTGATGAATGGTATCTCTCCAGGAATTCAGCTACTACCAAGAAAGTATTAAGCCAACTCAGATAGTGTGGCAAGAATGTGTATAATAAATATGGGGAATGTACCATTGCTTCAAGCTAAGTATGCTAGGTAAGCTAGGTAAAATATTACTGTAGTGGTATTATATTTCAATGTGAAAGTATCATTTTTATTATGTTTACACTGTTTTTAAGTTGCTCCAGTCTAAACCTATAATAAATTAAACAAGTTTTTCTATTGCAGAAGGACTTACTCAAGAGTGGTACTGTAAGTGTTCAGTTTGCAAGCAGAGGGTCAATTTGAAGATTACACTAGCTAATGCAATCTTTCCTAACTGGTGTCCTTCCATATGTGTGTGCCTACAGATGTCACAATTCCCAGAATTTATGGGATAGATATTCCGGCACGATTGGGTGAGATTAAACCAGGGGTCTGCAACCTTAAACATTCAAAGAGCCATTTGGACCCGTTTCCCACAGAAAAGAAAACACCGGGAGCCACAAAACTCATCCCATGCCTGACTATTTGTTGAGCAGCTACAAAACTAGCATATGTAGTTGAATTAAACATTCTTGTTTTTTTTCTGAAACTTTTCTTTTCTTGGATTTATCCATGGTTGGCCTACCAGGGGTTGAAAAGCTCAATAAATTGTGTGCCGGTGGGTGTCGCACATTGCCGGTTGTGACGCATATTTTGAATAACAAGGAGCCACAGCAGAGGGGTGAAAGAGCCACATGCGGCTCCAGAGCCACAGGTTGCTGACCCCTGGATTAAACTAAAACTTTAAATTGATGAAATGCATGACAATGGTTTTAACTGGGACATTTTAGGAAAAATATTACCATGATTATGATTCTGGTGTGTGTTGTAATTAAGAACATATAGTTGTCTGTTTCATTGTCTTGCATTCATAAATATTTCCCTGCTGGTTATTTTCCAGAGTCATCAAGAACTTTATGTCAGTGTCATGATACTCAGTGAATCCAACTTAATTATGGAGAGAGAAAAGATGCTATAAATAGATATAATTTTTTGTACCTTTTGGTTTCAAAGAATGAAGATAATATGAGATAGGCAACAATGCCTAACTTTTCTCGGTAGTAAAATCCATTTCAGAGATTCTGTTTTAGTTCTTTATTCTGTCAATTACCTTAAAATGAAGATCTTTAAAAACTTAAGGTATTTGTTAAACAAGTCATTTTCTTTAAATGAAGTGGAAGGGAAAAGACTTTATTAGAGTTTGTGCAATAAACCAAAGGAAGTTCAAATTGTAGGAGAAAAAGAACCGAGCAAGAATCTAGCAGTAAGAGGAGCTTCACAAAGAAGGAAAAGCTGATAAGTTCACTGTGTGGGTTTAATTCCCAGAGACATGAACTTGTTCATGGGACGAGATCACTTTTCCATCTTTTATCTCCTCAATAATTGTGCGAATCTGACGGGTAGTTTTGGATCCTGCAAGGAGACAGAGGAGGAATCAAAACTTAATTGCAAAAAAAGGAAATAGAAAAGTGACAAAGAATTCCACCATCCACCATTCTTTTCTTCAGCACTCAACTAAACAGGATTTTCAGGAGGGGGTAAAGGTAACAAGGCTAATGTTTCATCCAAGTGATTTCTTTTTCAGAGTGCTTATATTGAATGTATTACCATTTGAAAAGAAAAAAACAATGGTCTGCATTGATTCAGAGCTCATGTTGATTTCAAGAATAGTGCTTTGCTTACAGAAAACGGAGCTGTTTCTAAGGCTTTTATACTATTATTTGATAATTAAATAACTTTTGGATGCTTTTTCATCTCTAGACTGAGGTTGAGTAGTTCAGGATAATCTATTTGTTTGCAGGGGGAAGACGAGAGGCTTCATCTACCTATTTGGTTTAAGCAGCAGGCTTCTAGTCTGGCAGCATTTATACCACCCTGTTTAATTAAACAATTAATAAAATAATAATAATCAGGGTAGAGGCAGAGTAGTTTAGGTTGGTTAGAGTTAGCCAATTGGATCCAGTGAGAACAAAACACCTATACATTCCCAGCAATGCATGTTTATAAATGCAACAGGGATTATTTAACTTTTTCCTAATGTGTCTTTAACCCTCCCCCCCCCTCCTCTTTCTCCTATTTCTCACTCAACCCTCTCTATTTTTCTTAGGCAACGTAATCGTCACATTCTTGCAGAGTACTCCAACAGTGGGGCTTCTCAGTTTCTCAAAACATCTCCAGCATCAGCTCAAGTGTTCTTTGTCTTAAGAGGATCAGGAAGGATTTGATCCTGTTGATCAAGCAATGACATTGTGCATCCAGTCTGGTCCCCTTCTTTTTCTTCTACCAGAGTCAAAACTCTGATATGGGAGAGGTAATATAAATCTAGTCTGAAAGAGGGGATTCAAAGATAGATCTGCACGAAGGGAGATGACCCAGTCTGGTGCATATTTTTAGAGGCCATAAAATTGTGCCTTTACAATCGTAACTAAAAGAGTAAACAATAGAAATTGGCAAAGTTGTGAGCAAATTTCTATTGAAATCTCTTTTCAAATGCATAAAATTTAAAGCCACTGGAAAGACAATGCTGTAATCAACCTGGGGATCTTCCCATACCCTCAATACCTTTTCCTTCTATCCTCAAATTAAGTAACCAATTTGCCAGTTGAGAAAACTTGACGTGCTGTGCCTTGAAAATAAGGTTAGCAAAAGTTTGTCTGCCTGCAAGCATGAATCCCTCACTAAAAGGACTGCCCTCCATGGCTGCCTATGTTAGCTAGAAAGTGTGAAGCATGAAAGCATGGAGCAATAATAGCAGCGCAGTTGTAGCTGCAGCCTGATGGGCAGACCTTCTGCTGCAGCTCACTGGTGCAGATCACAAAGTCCAAGGTCCCCATGCTGTGAAACTTTAGAACGTTGCCAATAGAAATGTCAGAGTGCACTCAGTTTGATTACGTGAGACAACCCAGGAACAAATACAGTAAGCAGGCATAACTGCCAAATGTTCTTAGGTGAGCCAATGAAGGTTTTCTTCCATATAATAGGATATGTGGAGTTTCATTTATAGCAACACTCCATATCCTGTTTATTATATAATTCACTGTGTTCATGGCTTCCCCCAGTATATTCTACTCATTCCTGCATTTGCTAGCAGTGAGTGTTTCATCGTTTGCAATACGCCATTCCATCTTGCAACCACTCCGTTTTCAGCTGGCAAGTATGGATTCGTACGTCTATGCCTTATGCCTAAACTCCTTAACTATCTTTGGAAATTATCAGATATGAACTCTGTTCCCATGTCTGTCTGCAACTGGCATACTTTACAACCATACCTTCACTCTACAAGTCTTATCCATCCATTTATACCACAGCAAAAAAACAAACAAACAAACTATTGACTGCCAAGTGGGATGGTGATAATGTCAAAGCAGAAATGGTCATAGTTTAATATAGCCCTATGGCTGATGGAAGTAGGCACTTAGTTTCTCTCTATGTAATATAGAATATTTGCCTAACAATTGGGAAGTGCTAGATTCCTTGTAGATTGCCTTTTTCCAGATTCAGCCTGACCTAATGGTAGGCTGGCCCTGAGATATAGAAAATGTTGTGAGGATACATCTTTTACCAATGGCAAGGAACTCAGTCTGGAGCTGAAGCAGGGAGGTATGGGTGAGGAGAGATAGGTGAACTGTTGGTTTGGTTGGAACAACTGAATCATCATCTTGTCTATTTATTTTGCAGATTTAGATACTCCAAGAAGGAAACTTTTAAAACTAGAATAGATTCAGGCAACACTCTAATTAAACATCAAATCTCCAGTAGATTCTTACCCTCTATGGCTGATGAATACTGGGGAGTACTACATGAAAAGAAGAAAAACAAAAAAAGACCAATTAGAGAAACATAAAAAGCAATGCAAAAAAAAAAACAAATACTGAAGTGATTGTCAACGTTGCTAGTCTTTAATAAGACGGAAAGAATGACACTTGATCTAAGTCTGATTTAATTCATGATAATTTCTTTACAATAAAATTACAGGAGCTATTTTAGAGTGCTGGACCACTTTAATGGTAGTCATTACATTTTCATCTGTGGCCCAGTATTCTACTGATAGACTAATAAAGGCAAAGGATAAAGAATAAGATCTTGTTCGAGCACCACCTTTGTCATTAATTATATTTGATTTGCAACCATTGCAATCACAATAGCCCAACTTAGTGTATCAACAATATGCACTAACAAAAGTTTGAAATACTTGTGCAAAAGCTACAAAAATCATCTTAAATAATTATTGTTAGTCCTACTCAGCCATTAGAATATATTTCAGACACCCTACAGTTTAAGTGAATCCTTCAGTGGAACCTTACTCTGATGGACCTCTAACCTTCATCATTTTCCCAATTAACCATTTTGAATACAAATGATGGGACCCTTTTGACATACTAATCTTCCTCTCCCTCCAGCAGACGACGGTAGGTGGCAATTTCCTTTTCCAGGCGTGTCTTGACATCAAGGAGAATCCTATATTCATGGTTCTGGCGCTCCATATCACATCTCAAGGTAGCCAGTTCCTCTTCCATATTGATGACCAGACCCTGGATCTGTGCGAGCTGAACACTATAACGAGATTCTATATCTGCCAAAGTCCCTTCCAATGCTGCTTTCTGGGAAGAGGGAGGAATCAGAATCAGTGTTAAAAAGGAATATATATGTCATGTTTTTATAAACAAGTCATTACAGCCTGGGCAAAACCAACACTAGGTTACAAATTATGATTTATTGAGCCAAATGGCTGGGTACACATATTATTGGAAGCCAAACGCAAATCAACCTCATAGTGGATTAACATAATAGTGGCAGAGAGTTCAAAAGTGCATGCAGCCCCCACCCCACACAATTGGTTAATAGCTGTCAGAGCCACTAAGTTTTCCTCTGTATTATAAGAGAATAAGAACATTCTTCACTTTATTGTACAGTACATTTGACATTTTTTAAGTTACTTTTTTTAAGTAACTTTCTCTCCTAACCTCACCCACTTCTTTGTCATAGCCTTGTCCCCTTTGGTAGTTTTACTTCCAAAATATCATTCAAAGATCAAATACACTGTCAGCCTAACACAATTGCCCAACTCTAATTTAGCACAATATGTCAATCCAATATAAGATTCTACCAAGGTTTCCTGGTGTGTTACTTAAGAGAACATGAATCCTGGGATGAAATGTATCCCCCCCCACAAGAAATCTGTCTGCCTTGATAGCTTACTCACAGGGGGCCTCAGAACACTCTTTGAAAATGGTTTACCTATAGAAACTGAGAGCTTCTTGCATGTAGATTGATGCTATTGTCAAAAATGTATCATTCTTATATGTACAGTAACTACAAATAAGTGTTCAGCAAGAAAACCTGCCTCATTCTTCCTCACCTGTTTTCTTTAAAGAAAGAATTGGCTTTTGAAATTTTGTTTGAAAGAACAGAGAATACGGATAAAGTTCTCTAGAGAGGAGTTTGACATTGTGGGTAAATTTTTAACTATGAAGTAGCGAAAGAGCAGGTAGGAATTCCCCAGCTTTCATGCCCCAGTTAATTTCCAGAAGTCTTGAGCTAGAGGGAGAATAGGGAATGGCCTTGAAGGATAGAAAGAAAAGCCACTATCGAAGCAATAGTCAGATAAGCGTGGATTGAGCCAATTTCAAGAAACTAATATGAGAAAACAGACAGGCCCTTCTCTGGTTCACATGAAGATTGGGTGAGGGAGGAGGAAGCAAATTCAAACTTGTAAGATTCATTTTCCCTAGCTGTTACAATATGTCCCAAAGGTGCTTTATTGAGAGGCAACTCTTGAAAAAGCACCTTTGGGACAACCATGACCTGGATGACTGAGAATCTCCATAGACATTTAGCTCTTACAATAAAAGGGTTCCTGATCTACCTGGCAAAGTTTTCATGGACTGGTCCAGTTTACAGGGCTGACAGCAGCTTCCCTGGATTTCCACACTAGGGCTACATTCTTAGTGAGGATGTCATAAAGAATTGTTTAAATCGGGAAGCCAAAAAGGCTTGAGTGTAATAGAAGAATATCTAACAGAGAGCAGCAACATAAGTGTACCACTCTGTATCACCTTCAACAGTAAAATCAGCTGAATGCTCAACAGGCTGAGAATGCGTTAGAAAAAAGCAATTTCATTCACAAGAGAAAAAGTAATAGGAATATAGAGCAACTCAGGGAAGAAACAAGAGCATGTCTGTCCTCTCAGTGAAACAGATGCATATTTTGCACCATACTGTAGTCTTGTTATTTAGAATATAGAGGGGGTAAAACAAAAGCAGTCTGGTTCCTGTACCGTGCTAAACTGGGCCTGCAAGTCTATCTCTAGTCCTTGAAGGCTGCGTCGCAGTTCTATGACTTCTGATTGGCCACTCTGCAGTTGTTCTGTATTGATGGCAACTTCTCGATTCAGCTCTTCAGTCTGTTAAGAAAGGACCACTGAAATGTCATGGTGCACATATAAAAATAGTCAATATGCTTTCAAGGGAATATGTTCATCTCAAGGAAGCTCTACCTTGCTGAAGAACCACTGCTCAGCATCTCTACGGTTGTTCTCTGCCAAGCTCTCATACTGTTCTCGCATCTCTGCCAGGACCTTCGTCAGATCCACACCAGGAGCAGCATCCATTTCCACAGTGATTTCTCCACCCATTTGGCTTTGAAGAAGTCTCATTTCCTGTTTGAGGAACACCAATGAAAAGTTCTCCTATTACCCCGAGTAATATCGGTACCTACACTATTTCTAAAATAAGTAATATTGGTTTACTTTATTTAGCATGGAGATTTCAATCCATCATGATATCTAATTTTTGCTTAATTGATTTATTTATTGATCCAGTCTACTTGGCCACCCATCTAGCCAAGAAACTTTGGGTGGCAACCAGGATGAAAACAAAGAAATGTTTACCTTAATATTTGTTGAACATCCAAAGAGGTTCCAAAAATAGTACATATAGATCAAACATGTTATATTCCCAAAAGAAAAGATTATAACAGATAAATATTTTAGAATATATTCATAACAAGAACAATAAAGCATCAGTAATCTTTTTAGGTGTGGGGAAAGCAGTGCCTGGTTATTTGAGGGACCTCTTGTCTCCCATAGTGTCTATCCAGCCAGTTTGATCTGGTTAGGTTGGCAGATTCTGGGTTTCATTAATTAAACAATGCCGTCTATCAGAATCCTGGAAGTGCACTTTTTCTGTAGCATTGCCTGCCATCTGAAACAAACAAGAGCCTCCATCTTGCTGGGATTCCAAAGGGCAGGTGTTTAATGCTTTCATAGGCTCTTTGGCCAGGAGAGCTGCCACTCCTTTCTTCCCTTTGCTTGTTCTCCTCTGAGTTGGTTTTCTTTCCCATAATCGCTGTTTTGTCCTGTGTTTTGTGTGTGTGTGTTTTGTATTGTTCTTTGTTTTTAAGAGATTTTAACCATTCCAAACTGCCCACAATTACTGTGAGTCAAGTGGCATATAAATTTAATAAATTATTATGGTTTGCCACACAATCAGCCAAATGTTCAAACTGCATTTGGCACCTAGTCCTTCACAAGAACCTGGGATAGGCAGGTATGGATGTTTGATAGTGTTAAAGGTATCATTGCGGGATGTAAAGTGTTCCCAGTAAAGCTGCCCAGTCTGCAATTGACTGACAATGATTTTTGTCAATACCAATGCTCTTGTTGTTGTGACTGCTGATGAAAACAACTAAAAGTTTTGGTGAATTTTCTGGATTCAAAATTAATAGAAGATTTTGCACAGAAAGAATCCAGATGCCAGATAATGAAAAGTGAAATATCTGGGATTGTGTCTGACAAATTGCAATAAAGATATATTTCAAAATAATTATAATAAATTATGGGGAGACTTTTTAATATATATATATATTGAAAAGTAGGAAAAAAATTAAAAATCTCCTGCCTAGGAAGAATTATGACTCTCAAAATTAATGTATTACCCAAGATATTGATTTATTTCAAATGACATACATTTTAAACCTGCAAAGAAAAATGTATATGCAGTGGGGGGAAAAACAGAATAAAATTCATAAATTTACAGGATTCAAAAGGCAAAGTTGGCTTTGCTTTTCCAAATTTCAAATCTTATCAGCATGCAAGCTGTCATGAATAACAGAATGGATAAAATTCCAAATAACAGGATGTTAAAAGGAACCTGCCTAGCTAACAGGATTTAGTTATTCATAGGGCTTCATAAGTATTTATGATATAAAGAAAGAAAAGAAGACAAAAATCTAAAAGGGCATATTCCAAAACAAAACTTGATAAAAAGATGGAACACTTTAAAAAAAAACATTTTCACCACTAGCTTCTCCACTAAAGTGCTTTTTTATTCTGGGGATGACTATAGCAAGAAACCTATAATTACATTTACACATATGGTGCATTCTGGCTCCAGAAAAACACATAGTAAGAATTATTCACTTAAAGATGGATTTTACCTTCTAGTGTACCTACGAATAGCAGAAGAATAAAAAGTTCTTTCAGGGAGAAAGAAAGAGGGACTTTAAGAAAAATAACAGATTTAATCTGACGGAATCGAGGCCATCTTTAAGAAAATAAAACTGGTTCATCAGAGGCTGATGTTGTGGGCTAAAAGAGAAGGACTGGCCAAAAGTCACCCAGTCAGCTTTCATGCCTAAAGGAGAAACTGAACTCACAGTCCCCTAGTTTTTAGCCTGGTATCTTAAGCACTAGATCCGTGATGGCGAACCTATGGCACGCGTGCCCAAAGTGGCATGCAAAGCCATTTTGCCCGGCACACACCACCTTGACTGTTTGTCTTCCAGGTTTCTGGCATGCATGCACATGTGACAATTAGCTGTCCTTCGTGCGTGCAGCAGTGCCAAAAACCAGTGCATGCACGTGCGCCAGCCAGCTGATCGTCAGGCGCACATGTATACTAGGACCCGGAAGTTCAGCTTTTCCGGAGCGTAGCCGCAACAAGGGCACGTGTGCGCACGTGACATTTTTGAGCGACCTTTTCGGCACTCGGTGCTGAAAAGGTTCACCATGACTGCACTAGATCAAACTTTCCAGATCAAGGCCATACATATAAATTGCTACTAAAATATAAAATGGATTCTGAACTAGTTAAACATTGTATGATAAAATGTCTCTGCATATTTAAACTAAGGGTCTATATCAGTGGTGGGATTCAAATAATTTAACAACCGGTTCCCTGCCCTAATTATTCCTTCCAATAACCAATTCACCAATCTGCTCAGAAAGTTAACAACCGGCTCTCCCAAAGTGGTGCGAACTGGCTGAATCCCACCACTAGTCTATATGCAATCCACACATATAAATTCAGTACTTGATTAGTTGCTGGTGAACAAGGTGATATAGATAAAATAGAAAGAAGCACAATGCATTCAATGGCATCAGAATGCAGGCACTCCTCGACTTACTACCACAATTGAGCCCAAAATTTCTATTATACAGTGAGGCATTTGTTAAGTGAGTTTTGCCCCATTTAACAACCTTTCTTGCCACAGTTGTTAAGTGAATCGCTGCGGTTGTTAAGTTAGTCACGCGGTTGTTAAGTGAATCTGGCTTCCCCGTTGACTTTGCCTGTCACAAGGTCACAAAAGGTGATCACATGACCTTGGGATACAGCAATAATCATGAGTCTGTTGCTGTCTGGATTTTGATCACATGACTATGGAGATGCTGCAAAGGTCATCAGTGTGAAAAAAATGGTCACTCTTTTCAGTGCCGTTGTAACTTTGAACAGTCACTAAATGAACTGTTTAAATCGAGAACTACCTGTACACCCTTGAGTTGCCAAATCAAGTAAAGAAGAGTCAAGAGCAGGCAAATCAAATGTAGCATGTTTATGTGTAAATCAGGCCAAAGTCTTATTTTTCCAAATAAAATCACAAATCCAAAGACTTGTGTGCACTCAACTGTTCAATAGCTGTGATGCAAACTTCTCAATGGGGCACTATCTGCTATGAGTGCAAATATGTTATTGGATTACCATAAAGTATATGTTCACTGTGAAGGTGTCACATAAACTAACTGCAAGTTCACACTCCCCATTTTAACAATACGTATGCTATGTGATGGTGGCAATGGGATATCTTACCTCTTCGTGATTCTTCTTCAAGTGAAGCAACTCCTCAGTGAGAAGTTCAATATCCTTTTCTAGGTGAATCCTGGTTGAGGTTAGATCATCTAGAACATTGCGCAAACCATTGATGTCAGATTCAACACTCATGCGCAATGCCTGTTCTGCCTCAAGCCTAAAATCAGAAGGGATGAGTGAGTGATGATGAAAAATGTAGAAGAGACAATATTTGTCCTCATGGCAACCCACCAAAGACTTACTTGTTTTTGAAATCATCAGCAGTCAGTTTTGCATTATCAATCTGCAAGAGGACATCAGCATTCTCAATTGTGGCAGAAAGAATCTGAAAACAACATAGAAATGACTGGTTGAGATCAAGAGTTTCTATAGGAATACCTTCACATTTGAAATGTCTGTGAATGCAATGTCTATCCCCCATCATAGAAAGCTCTAATTCTCAGTTCTTTAGGATGTTGAGTAGAGTTGAGTTTCTACTATGACTATAACGCTCCAAAATCAACATCATATCTTAATAAAAGTCTTATCAGCACCCTAAGCTATTGAGTTCACCTGTTACTTCAGAGGAAGTTCAGTGAAAGCAATCATTTCACAATGTTTCTCCCGGAGCTGAAAGACTAATACCACCTCATTCGTGAAAAAGAGCCTTTGGTGGCACAGCTGACTAAGTGCTGTTAAAGTAGCACCAGCTGCCTGCAATTACTGCAAGTTCAAATCTCACTAGGCTCAAGGTTGACTCAGCCTTCCATCCTTTCGAGGTAGGTAAAATGAGGACCCGGATTGTGGGGGCAATAAGCTGACTTTGTATAAAAAAGAACACCGCTTAGGGGGGGCCAAAAGCCCTACTAAGCAGGTATATACAAAAGTATGAAGGCTATTGCTTAACGCATTGTAAGCCGCCCTGAGTCTCCAGAGAAGGGTGGCATATAAATCAAACTAATAAATAAATAAATAAATAAATAAAATGCCTCATTTGTTATACCTCCCACGTCAGAGTTGACTTTCCCTTTAGTACAGGGGTCTCCAATCTTGACAACTTTAAGCCTGGAGGACTTCAACTCCCAGAATTCAACAGCCAGCTTTGCTTTGTTTTTGTCTTCACTCAATCTCTCCCATATTTAGCTGGACTTTAGACAGAAATATTTGTTTACTTCCCCTATAATAAACATGGCTTATTTATGATGTTTTTCTAAGCTTTCTAGAGTGTATTTTAAAATGTTGAAATAATTATAAAAAAATCTACTGTTAGCATATTCAATAGGAGTGAAGTAGAAAACTTTTCAATTTATGTCCCAATGATACACACACAAAACAAATATCCATGTAACCCAAAATGCAGTGCTTTGTGAAAATATGCACATTTTTGGACTTTACAGGGTAGTTTGCAAGTCTACAAACATGGGTATATACCTGAAAAGCAGGCACAAAAATGTTTATTGAAAATATTGATGTGAACAATATTGCATCACACTGAAGAAAATTTGTTAGAAACATGTTATAAAGGAGAAAATAAATACAAAAACATATATAGATATTTTTTCATATTTCAAATAAATGATCTCAGTGTAGATTGGAAACATACTGAATCAATAATTCAGTATTAATTACAATTTATTTAATTACAATTAAATAAAGACAATTTTAGATTTCACAGAGTTACAGAGACCATAACACAGTGGGATGAACAGGCCATGTCATTTCTGCTCAAAGTCAACCTTTGTTCAAAAATATTGACTCATTCATAACACCAATTTGATATTCATATACACTTAAAAGACTAATCATTTAATATCTACAATGGAAAGAAATACTTTGACCTGAAATTACAAGGAATAAAAATAAAAAATGAAGATTAAAAGTGATAGCAGATATGATAGCAGTGTTCCAATATCTCAGGGGTTGCCACAAAGAAGAGGGAATCAAGCTATTCTCCAAAGTACCAGAGAGCAGAACAAGAAGCAATGGGTGGAAACTAATCAAGGAAAGAAACAACCTAGAACTAAAGAAAAATTTCCTGACAGTTAGAACAATTAATCAGTGGAACAATTTGCCTCCAGAAGTTGTAAATTCTCCAATACTGGAAGCTTTTAAGAAGATATTGGACAACCATTTCTCTGAAATGGATTGAGGTTTCTTGCCTGAGTAGGGGGTTGGACTAGAAGACTTCTAAGATCCCTTCCAACTCTGTTTTCTATTCTATTCTGTTCTGTTCTGTTCTGTTCTGTTCTATTCTGTTCTGTTCTGTTCTATTCTATTCTATTCTATTCTATTCTATTCTATTCCATTCCATTCCATTCCATTCCATTCCATTAACAACAAAAGCATTATCCCTCTCCATTCACATAGCAATTAAATTCTGGTCCCTTAAAACCAATTTGAAAAAGAGGAACCCATCAAAGGAGTCAATTACTTGTTGCTAATTGCTTTTCACCTGCTACAATATCTTTTTTTTTAAATGTACTCTGCCCAATGCTATTGCTAACAAGTGCTTGTGGGCACTTGTTACTTACAGTCAGAGGGTTGGCATGTTTATAGATCCCCATGAAATTTCCTTGCCATACCTTGCTCCTCAGGTCCTCAATAATCCTGAAATATTGGTTGTAGTCACGGTCTGGACCAGGTGCCTGCTTCTGGTACCACTCCTTAATCTTGACCTCCAGGCTGGAATTGGCTTCCTCCAATGCCCGCACTTTTTCCAGATAAGCAGCCAGACGATCATTGAGATTCTGCATGGTTTCCTTCTCTTTCCCAGCCAGAAGGATATCACTTCCAGTTCCACCCACAAAACCACCAGTTAATCCTCCTCCAAGACTACCACTAAGGCCCCCACCAAGGCCCCCAGCAAAGGTGCTGCAGTAACTGCTGCCCCCATAAGTACCACCTGGGGTGTTTCCAATCCCAGAGAGGCAGCGAGCAGTAGAAACTGAAATACCACCAGCTCCACCATGACTGCTAGGGGCATGGCAACCTCTACCAAAATGGACCAGGTTTTCCCCGCTAAAACCTTTCATAGAGGAAGAGGAAGTGCTAGTGTAGTGCCTGATGATGGTGGACATCTTGCCAGGGAATGGAGCCACCTAAAACACTGCTCTGTTCAATTCTGAAAGGACTGAAAAGCTAAGAGTTCTCTCTCATTCCACCCTGCTTTTATTCCCACTGTGGGGGCGTTATGTCAAAGGCCTTTTCTTTCCCTTGCATTCCCCAGAGCTTTCATCATCTCAGACATCAAAGCCAAGTTCTACAATCATCACTTTTTTTTCCCTCGGTGGCCTATTCATGCATTTGTCTTTCCGGCAGATACACCTTGCCTATAAAAGGTAGTTTTGTGTTTCCCCCTTGGTCCCCAAGTGAACATTCAAGTATGCCTCAGAAACAGGACTAGCATTGCTCAAGGGTGTAGTTGAACATGATGGAATTTTTATGTGCGAAATGCACCCAGGGAAAGACAATGAAAGCGCAGTCTTGCACAGGGGGAACCATCACATCAGAAATGAGGGTCTATAGAAAGCCTAAGGATTTTCGCAGTTTTTGTACAAAATCTGGAAGGTTGACAGTTCGGAAGGCTTCCTTATAGACGGCAGATTTCACAGATTGCTTCTGTCCTTGTACATTAAATGACAAAGTCATACATGTAAGTTGTGCAATTACCAGTCGATAGTTTTCTTTTCAAGGCAAGTAACCATGGAAATTGAAGCAAAGAGCTTCTAAAGCAGGGGTCTCCAAACTCACCCACCCACCCCCCGCAATTGGGGCCCACTCAGGGGTGGGATTCAGCCTATTTGGACCAGTTCGGGTGAATTGGTAGCTCCGATGATCAGCTGAGAGCGAACCAATTCACTGAGATGATTTGGAGGGCCCACCACTGACCTTTATTTCCTTTGTTTGAAGCCCAGCCTCATCGGCGTGGCAGAGTGGATTGCCGCAGCTCAGCTGTTTTACTCACCGGGGCTGCAGTAGAAAGTAAGTTTTCAAATGCACCACGTGCGCCCTCAGCGAACTGATTATTACACTGATTGAATCCCATCACTGGGCCCATTATCCGCAGCCTGTTCGGAACTAGGCCGCGCGAGCACAGCTCCACTTGCACAAGTAGTGGGCGCTCACGTTCACACACGAAGCTCCATTTGTGCAAGCGGCGCCCGCATCTCCCACTCACACAAACGGAGCTGCACATACACATGCGCGCACATCTATTGCTTGCACGGAACCATCCCCTCTTCCCCCCCTTCCCCCCCTCCCCCGGAGCCGGGCCAAGCTGGAGAGGTTAGAAACTGCTGTTCTAAGGATCACAGCCTATAAGTGGAAAGGAAAAAGTGGTTCTACATAAATGGTTCGTTGTTTTTCAATGCTAATTCTTAAATGTAGGAAAATAATAGGATTCGAGTGTGCCTGAACAGTTTGCATACTTTTTACCAATGGCAACCACAGGCTATGTTTGGATATTCTGATAAACAGAACACATTCCAGAATCTGATCTCTAGTTTGCTAAAGTGAAGATAAATTATTTCCTGATTGGCCCAAACCTTTCGGGATGTTTATAAATGTTACATTCTTGCCTATTTGTGAAAGCTGCATAGGGATTTATTATTGTACTCAGAGTTTGACTAGATCTATGGTTTCTCAATCTTGGCCATTTTAAATTAGGTGGACTTCAACTCCCAGAATTCTCCAGCCAGCATACTGACAAGAATTCTGGGAGTTGAAGTTTGCACATCTCAACATTGTCAAGGCTGAGAGACAGTGGGCTAGATGATTTATAAAGGGTCTTCTAATGCAAAGGTCTCCAACCCCCAGGCCACAGGCCACTACTAGGCCTTGAGTCGTTCAGAACCAGGCTGTGGAAGTGGTGAACAAACACATGTGCACGTGCATGCATCCCCATTCATGTGAGCAGTGTGTGAGCATGTGTGCATGTGTGTGCTCTCCATTTGCACAAGCAGCAGGTGCATGTGCCTGCCACTCGCGTAGAACCATCGCCTTCCCCCCCCACACACACACACCAGTCCACAAACCTAGAAAGGTTGGAGAACTCTGTTCTAAAGTTTACATTCTATCATTTTAAGAAGTAACTGTTTCCAAATTTACTTTTAACAATAAGGAGAATGTAAAGAAGTGATGGGGGGGGGGATGAAAATAATCAGATATTTAAAATCCCTTTCTATGCATACAGTTTCAAATTTGAATACTATTATTTAATAAGAGCCTATATAACCCTACGGATGTGTGGTCTATTGCTGATGGCTGTGATGGATAGAATTGGGGGGAGTGTAGTTCTGCATATATGGAGAGCCTAAGCTCTCCATCCCTGATTTAAAACAGCTTTTTTCAAAATTGGCAACTTCAGATGTGTGGATTTCAAATTCCAGAATTCACTATCCATCCTACTGGCTGGGATTTCTAGAAGTTGAAGTTCACACATTAAGTTGCTGAAGTTATGAAACATGACTCTATAGAATAGCTGTATATATATAGAGAGAGAAGGGACATGGTGGCTCAGTGACTAAGACATTGAGTTTATCAATCGAAAGGTCAGCAGTTCAGCAGTTCGAATCCCTGGTGCCCTGTAATGGGGTGAGCTCCCATTACTTGTTCCAGCTTCTGCTAACCTAGCAGTTTGAAAGCATGTAAAAAATGCAAGTAGAAAAATAGGGACCACCTTTGGTAGGAAGGTAACAGCGTTCCGTGTGCCTTTGGTGTTTAGTCATGCCGGCCACATGACCACAGAGACGTCTTTGGACAGCGCTGGCTCTTCAGCTTTAAAACGGAGATGAGCACCGCCTCCTAGAGTCAGGAACATCTAGCACATATGTGCGCGGGGAACCTTTACCTTTACATATATATATATATATATATATATATATATATATAGAGAGAGAGAGAGAGAGAGAGAGAGAGAGAGAGAGAGAGAGAGAGAAGACTACTGAGTGGAAATGCAACCTTTGCAGACTTTGATTCATCTTTGATATTCATGTGTTTATCTCAGGTTCCCATAATAGTAATGTGTAAGATCCGATAATGTTTGTTAATGTACTTTTTTTTAAAGGGGGGATGCAAACACTTACAACTTTGCATAACACTTTGCAACAATGATCATAAAGAGACTGTCATTCCCTGATGGACTGATCCTTAATTCAGAAAAGAGCACAACTGGACAAGGTAAATGGTTCTTAACATTATTGTTCGCTGGTGGAAAGTTGAATCTTTATATTCAAATTATTTCCTGAAATAAACATGTTGCGGGAAGTACTGATATCTGTGAAATCTGTGGCTGATATGTACAAATATGAAGTGGAGGGGTGGAAAATGCAAAACAGAACTGATTGCCAAAGCTCATGACAGCTGTGATAAGGAATATCTATCATTACCACATTAAGCTTCTATCTCATCTAGGTGAATCATATTTTAAAAGTGAGCCATAATGGATTTATTTACCCTTTTCTGAATTCTTTCCTTAACATTAGCAGCATCTAGACTTGCAGTGCAACACAATGTGCAACTCAGCTTTTACTGGAGAATATGGCATCCCTAATTCTGAATCTTGCTTTCTTAATTGCACCCAAGAATGTTTGGGGACTGACTAGGAAAGAGATAAATTCTGAACAAAACTTAACAGGTTTCTTTCATCAAGAAAGGCAACAATCCACCAAATTGTGCATAAGAGCACCAGCGTGCCTACTGTCCTTGTCCTAATGTTCCCTTTATTTGTATAAATAAATAAAGCAGAATCTGCTGCAATATGAAATTCAATGCTGAGTAAATCCATCCGTGATCATTTTTCTCAAAAAAACTTGCTCCCAAACATTCTTTGTTTCTGAAAGATACCTGCAAAAGATCTCAAAATATTGTACACAATAATAGAAAGGTATACTTTCAAAATAAATCGCTAATGCTGTAATTGTGAAAATAATCTTGGGAGACTGGGCTCAGAGATACTACTGAGTAGTAGTCTGATAGGAGACAGCATGGTTCACAGCCAGATACTGAGCAGGGCATAGGCTCAGAGGAGACCCTTCCTAATTTCTCAGGAAGTAGAGGAGGCGAAGGGACAATTGTACCTGGACTTGCAAGATTCTGCTAATGTAGCCTTATCATACAACAGAATTAGCTCATCTGGCCATGTTTCCTGTCTGATCCACCTGATAGTCTGGTAGTACAATTTACATTGAAATAACTCACAACAGGAAATCTCCAACAATAATAACCTCAAGGAAAATTATGCTAATATAAGGGAGGGGGAAATTATATTACAAATTATGTACGGTAAGTTGTGGAAAGTTTTGTAGAAAAGCTTTACCTTATTAGGAAAATTGCAAAAAAAAAAAACCGGAACTTTTTACAGATAGTTCTTGTCATCATCAAAGACATGTCAGAATTTTGTCCCACTAATGAAATCTATGGGATTTTTACTGACTTGTAAATCACTGTGTATGTTCATTCCCAATACTTTTATCAAAGATCTGTATATTTTGTGAACTTCTCCTTCTGGCCCAGGAAATATAGAGACAATTTACATTGAAGAGTTTCCTTCAACCTTGCTTATTCCAGGCATGTTGAACTACAATTCCCATCTCCTCCCACCAATATGCAACTGAAGGCCACAGCTTTAATTGGCTGCCTTCGAGTATCAGGCCAAGGCTAGGGATCTTTGGATTCAACTCCCCACACTGATGAAGAAGCTCCTCTGTATTACTACATCAACCACTGATTCTCAGTGTGTACCTAATGATGCCAATCATATGAAGACCGAAAGGAGGGACACAATGGATTCTATTAATTCCTTGCTTTGTGGTTCTAAAGTTTGTTTCAATATGAGGCATTTCCATAAACACTGCTCTGTTATCTGTTATCATATCCTGACATATGAATCCTCATCCAAAAAAAAAAATGGAACGAGAAACAGATCTAGAAAATCAGGCATAATTGATTCTGAAATATAGGACATAATACCAAAGAATCATATCCATTGCTCCTGATGTCTCTGGCCCTCATCTAGAGTCTTGATTGAAAGCATTGCTAGTATCATGTCAAATGTATGAAGGCAGAGTGCCTAATTAGACACCTTGGATAGGACCATCTACTTTGAAGATTCTAGCTTCTAAATCATCTGACTTCTGCAATCAGAGCTGATCAATGCTAGCTAAGTTGAGAACTTAGAGCATACAAAAATCTACCTGACAACAGACAGATGGCAGAACATTGGTGGCAGCTTAGCCACATTTAGTACTTTCATGTCTTGACCAAAGAGTGCCAGCCCATATAAATGAACATAGCAATTGCCTAGGGCACCAAGTTAAGTAGGGTACCAAAGCCCAAAAGGAAAAAATGAACAAAACTACATACTAGGGGACAGCAATGATTGCATGTTTTCACCTAGAGTGCCAGGCACTCAAGCAGGTTTAACGCTACCACTGGGCTTGCCTACAAAGCTATATCTGGCAAACTCACGTACAACTTATGAACCAGACAATACTTTCAGCTCGGTCCATTTAGGTTCATCTGCCAGAAAGAAACTTTACTCATCTGAAACTAGCCCTGAAATTGATTTCAATTGTGAGTTCCTCTGCTTGCTGATATTAGTAACTTTGTAAAGTTTTGTCAGCCAGAACACCTGCAGCTATTTTGGTCTACAGCAGGTGTGGGAAATCTGCAACCTATCATTTCTCATGCACACAGCCCCCAAAGCACTCTCAGTTCAAACTGAAACCACACATTTCCAGATGAACTATCTT